TTGGAAACCAATTAAAAGTTGCGTTTGCGAAACTCCTCGAAAGATTTCACGAAATAAATGGAACATTTCCTCAGAAAATTATAATATTTAGAGATGGCGTAGGTGACGGACAACTAGCCCATTGTCGTGACTATGAAGTGGCTCAGTTCGAAGAATGCTTGAAGAAATATGAATTGGATAATACCAAAATATGCATGGTAATGTTTAAAAATTGTTTATTTTTGTCTTTAAATAATTATTAATTTCTAAATGCAGGTTGTGGTTCAAAAGCGAATAAATACTCGTTTGTTTCTGAAAAGTAGGGACGGTTTGGAAAATCCGCCTCCGGGTACTATTATGGATAGCCAAATAACACGACGTAATTGGTATGACTTCTTTTTGGTACCACAAAATGTAAGGCAGGGTACGGTCACCCCCTCTCATTATGTAGTTGTATATGACGCTTGCCAAATAAAACCAGATCATATGCAAATGTTAGCGTACAAATTGTGCCATCTTTATTATAATTGGCCTGGCACCATTAGAGTCCCCGCCCCTTGTCAGTATGCTCATAAATTGGCCCAGCTTGTTGGCATCCATATCCGTTCAGAACCATCCAATAAGCTTATGGATCGCCTTTATTACCTTTAAAAATACTTTATTGACGGCATTAGTTACTTATTATAAGTTACCTGATACATTTACGTTTATAATTATTTTGGTTCATACTTTTTCGTTTTTTCGTTAACAGTTTACTGTTAGGTGTTTCTTTGTCTTATAATTTACGGAAGGTGTTTAATGATTTTCTTGAAAGTATTTTAATTGATTTCGTCCATAAAAAAGAAAAAAACAAAAGTTTCTTATAATTAATATTTACTTTTTATGTTTTTATGAAAAAACGTTTTAAATTTTCATTGTGTATTATAAGGTAATTTGATCTGACTTGAAACAAATACTTCAAATATAACTGTAAAAAGAAGAAAACGAAATATATATATATTTTTGTATTAAAGTTTATCTGTTTGAGAGTCACATAAAGTGTGTTGTTAAAAAGTACAATTTGTCAAAAAATATGTGAACGTCATGTACGTAGTCCGTAATTTACAACAGTTAGGTATTATTAGTAAGTATAATTTGTTAGATTTCTCTCACTGCCATGTTTGCTACACAAAAGAAATATGTTTATTCCTTCTTTTTGTATTACTTGTCTAACGTGTAAGAAATAATCGTTTTTTATTATCTGTTTGATAGTCACATAAATTGTATTGTTAAAAGAGTGCATTTTGTCAAAAAATAAAAATTAAACTAAATGATGTATATGTAGTGTCCGTGATTTTTAACGATAAGTATGATTTATTGTACAATTTTCTTTACTGTTACAGTTAATAATCAGTTTTCATTCCATCCTTTTTGTGTTACTTGTTTCATATGTGAAAAATAATTACTTTTTATGACAGAATAAATTATTTTTGTTAAGACTTGTTTTATTTTAAATATTTACTAGCAATTCAAAATTGCGAAAGAGTTTCTACTTCTAAAGAAACTTGTGAGTATCCTGATAAGTGGTAAGGAAATGGGGTAGTCGTCATTTTATAAATTTTTACCACAATAAAAGCCCAAAAACCTGCTAGTATGGTAGAAAGTAACCGCGGAAGCCTATTGAATAAAGGCGGATTTACTATCACTATGTTTACACCACATTTGTAGCGATGAAAACATAACCTGAATCGTACCTGAATTAAGATCATAGAATTAATAAGATAGTCGATTTTCTAGAAGAAGAGTCCAATCATCCCAATTATTACTTAAGACTGTTAAATAAAAGCTTCGGATAATAAGTTGGGGCCGGTTTAAAGTTAAATTATGGGAAAGGTCAGCTTACAGATTAAAGCAACGTTAGAAAATGTCGACGAAATTGCTCCAAATCACCCCGATTACAATTATCTCTTGAAAATGAAATGTACAAATTGTGGAGAAGTCTCAGATAAATGGCATGATGTTTCAGAAGCACGCACTTATCCCACAAAGATGGGAAAAAAAGATACTCACTTTTTGGCTAAATGCAAATTGTGTGGAAGAGAAAGTAGTGTTGACATTGTTCAAGGAAGTAATGGTAAGCAGCTAAAAACTAACTATCGAATATAAAATGTAAAATTTCAATGATCCCAGGAAGCTACACACTTGAGTGCCAAGGCAACTTCAAATCCATCGTAACTTTTGAATGTAGAGGTTTTGAACCCATTGAGTTTTCACCAGGCCCAGGCTGGAAAGTTAAAGTTAGGGAAACTGGAAATGTATTTGATGCTGACTTAAGTGAAAAAGAATGGGTGGAGTATGATGAAGAACTCGGGGAATCGTTTGGAATTTATGAATTTGCAAGTCAATTTGTTAAAGTTAAATAATTTGAATTGAATTGTAGGTAGACAAAGAAAATATTATATATTTTTTGTTGCTTTTTCATGATTTTAGTAAAAGGTGAAACCTCAACTTTGGTTATTACAGTAGAAAATATGAGATAGAAGTTGGGAGTTCTATTTTAAACACTTACAATGCATTCGAATGATCACTTAGCAAATACTTTCAACATGTATATGTTGTAAGTTAAGAATATTTATAAAAACTAACTTGGAATATTTTGGAAGAAGTTTCAAACTGCTGGCTCATTAAACTATACTTTAGTTAAGAACGTGTCTCATTACGAATTTGTTTCTTCACATTTTAAACATTTTCACTATTACAGTTTAATGCGTCGTACAGTTTTATTTTACATATATTTACTAGTATTTAATATAAATTAAGAGAATGAACAGAAAAAGATAAGGTTATAGTCTTTTTGAATTTGAAGTATTTTACTCAATTGACAGTACACGCCACCTGTTTTACTAAATGTTTACTACTTTAAAACTATATTTACCAGTGGCGCACTGGAAACAGTTCTCAACGGGTTTCTGAAGAAAAAAAACTGTAAATATCAGATTAAAGTTTATTTAATTATAATAAAAGATCTTTGTACAATATTTACAGTTTGCAAATGTCGTAATTTACTGTATATATTACAGAAATAATGTACAAAACTCTGTTTCTTTTTAAATAAATAATTTTTATCACACGTGATAAATGATAAATCGTACATACATGATTATAGTTATAAAGTGTTTTTTTTTAATTATGGAATGCGACACAACTACAAATTTGTTTTCAAAACATGAAGTTGTTTCGCAGAATTATTTATTTTTTTATACGTCGCTGCCGATTTTTGGCAATTATAAAATTAAAATAAGTGACTTCTTTTGAACAATGTGTTTATACAAATTAATAAATAATGTTGAGTCGTGGCAGTATAATTACAGCAGTTCTTCTTGATTGATGCTGCTAATTGTAAGATGTTTCCAAAACATTTTGAAGTGCCAGTTTGATAAAATAAAATAAATGTTGATTTATAAAGCAGTCAGTCCACAAACGATTATATAGTGTCTTAAATTAGGTGTTTATAGGGCAGCTGTAAAAAGAAATTTTCCATATTAAAAATACATTTGTTAAGGTCTAAATTTGCAAAAAATACATGGCATTTCTACGAAAAGCGCGCATATTTTTGACAGTACATCCATTCAGACGTTTCGTCGGATACGTTTTTTGGCTCTCTCCGAAAATGGTTTCTAATAGTTAAATAAATGTATCCATCACTGAAGATGCCTTTATGGTAACAGACGAAACAATACTGAAAGAAGAGGCATCTGGATTTCATTAAAATCCTCACAAGACGAAAATAGTAGGAAAAAACTTCGACGTTTATTATGTTCAGTATTTTTTGCAAAGCGTAACACTCAAAAAACAAAGATACAAAAAACTAGTCAGAGGACAGCTCAAAAACTAACTACATTCTACTACAGAAAAACACATACATAATACACTAAATAAAAATATACCGCATACACTACGAAAACTACAAAAGGAGATGTAATAAAAGAAAAAAAAACAACTAGTGTAAGGGATCTTACCGACTTTTAAGACTGGTTGAGTTGGTAGGAAGATGAATGGAAGGGAATGTAGAAGTTCCGCTTGATTTTGTTTCAATTACGAAAATTGATCATTTATTAGAAGTGTACATTGTTTTTCCATTTATTATTTCCTGGTTTAGCTTTTGCTTGATATATACTCTTACAGAATAAATGATGAGGTTTTTATGATATTTCTTTCGTAGAAAACTCAATGTTTTCAACATTTTTATATTTCCAATTAAAAAATGCGAACAAAAATCAAACATTTTATTATTCTTGTTGATACCGGAATGTTTAGTGATAACAGTTAATGTGAATTAGTTTTTATAAAATTGGTAAAGATTGATAAAAACTTAATTTTCTGAATGAATATGAATGTAAAAATAATTTAATAAAAAATCGAGTTTGTATTTGCAACTCGACAAAAAAGATGGCAGGGGTGACCACCTCCAATATACCATTAAAAAGTGCTGTCCTTTTTCAAAAAAATTCAATAACATTTTTAAAAATTATTTCAAAAACTCATTCGACCATCGATAATATTATCAAGCGGGATGATCATGTTCGGGGCAGGAAAGACTTACCGAACGGTCTGATTGGGTGTTTATCCCATAGGTAAGTCCTCTTGACAGGAGAAAGATAAGAATCTCTGAGATAGAAAGGGGACTTTCCCCAACCAGTGTATGGTCTGTAGGGTCGTAGTTCGGGGTAATTCCACCACCAGGGGTCGCGAGTAATTGAGGAAACGGGTAGGAAAGGGGAAGGATTTAACAGGTCGTACCATAGGAGTCTCTTACTTGGGCGAAGGCCTCCGCGAGAGTAAATCGGTTGACCGAAATAGTTGAAAGCTACTTCACTTGGTCGAGGAGCGAATTCGCCAATCTGAAATTAAACAGAATCTTTCAAAAAACTCAGTTCATATTAGACATGATACTTTCGAAAAACATACAAACATATTACGGTATGTGGAAACTTCAAAAATATTTTTAAAATATCGGAGAGCAAGAATTCACATTCGTCGTTTAGTCCTCTTACACAACGTTAGAGAAAAATAAATATACTATAATTAATAATTACCATGTGTTTTACTTGATTTCAATATTATAATTTTAAACGATATCTGCAGACACCTACCAAGTTTAATAAGTTAACCAAATAAAGCACCCAACTTTAAATGTTTTGTATTATTTAAGCAGCAGCTTTGTTCTCCTCGCATAGTCCGTTACTATGGATTATCCGAAAAATAAACCAGGTAATTTTTAAAGCACAACTGACTCTTTACACTTGGGTAATTTGCAGACCATAACCAGGTAATTCGCACTTTATTTGTCTTACGCACATTATTAAAAATACTTTAACTGTTTACAAACCATTTCATAAGAGAAAACTATCTCGATTATTTTAAGATAATTTAAAATAATTCCCTTATTGTTTTATTTGATTATGATGTTTGAGTTTAAAAAAATACAAGTCCTTAAGTATAATAAAATATGTAGTGAAGTTTCAAAATAGTTGACGTCACTTGTATACATAAAAACAAAATAAAATTAGAATACGTACATCGTAGCCTCTATAACGGGACATGTTGGCCTTGCCAGTGGTCTATTTCTAGGTTTGCTTGGTTTGAAAAAAGAGGGAAAAGGGGAATCGCGAGAGACAACACTTCGTTCGAAACTGTTGGCTACTACGAAAATTTTTGTGAAGTTTATACTATTGTTGGTCAGGGGAGAGAGAGAATTGAATCGGTGGGAGAGGTGACTTGAGTGGGAGAAAAGATCGAGGTAGAAGGGGTTTCCAAATAAAGGATACTTTGACGCTCTATTCAAGGTTTCATTAATAAAATGACGCGTCTCGGGTTTCATTATTTGGCAATGATATTTTTTGAGATTTTGCTGATTCTTTTTTTAGATTCTGGCCGCACTTTTGTACTCCAATCTGTTTATCAATTACGTAAAACTCAAAGACAAATTAAATCCGTATGTCTGACATGTTTTTTTGGAAGAGTAACTGTTTTTTAAATTGTTTGAATAACTTATCATCGAAAACACAATCGTTTCATTAATAGTTATTGACGTAGTTTATTTTTCCTTTTACTAAATCTATAGTTTACGTACTGTGGTTTATTCATTTTGCGATCAAGTTTTAAAAAAGCATTATCGTATTTCGTTGGTATAGTATCCATTTTTTTTTTAATTATAGTTTTGATGCCATTCCATATTAGACAATAAATAAATCAAACACTAATGTTGTACTGTTCCTACTTTTATTGTCGGTCTGGTTTCAATTTACGAAGTCATTATCAATACTGCACAATAAAAGTAGGAACAGTGCAAATATTACTGCTTAATTTGATCATTCTCTGTATTTAAGACTGTTTGAGGAATGCCTTATCAAAAAAAAAAAAAAAAGAAAACGAAATAATAAAGAATACATATGTAAAAGTACTTGCCTTGATTGGGGTGGGCGACCATTTATCGTATGGGAACAAGGATCTTCCAGGGAATAGTCTGTCTAAGTCGGACAGGCGGTTAAGATGATCTAACCAAGAACTGTGGGGTTCCCATTTGTCTTCGAACGGTAGCTTGGGCCTCTTACTGTAAACCAAGTATAGAGGATAGCGACTGAAGGGATAGGTTGTCCTAAAGTTGTCGAAGGCAGATGGATATCTACGTTCACGTTCTGCCTTACGAGCCAAATGGTCTTTCCATGCCGCTTCTGCATCGAATGGCCTTAGTTTTGGGATGTGAAAAACTACGAACACGGAAGGAATAATTAATTCATATTCCTCGATTTTAAAAAGGCACAACATACAGACAACTAGCAAGTAATATATACATGGGAAGGTATTTATAGTCAAATGCGAATATTTTGTTCTGTGAGTATGTTGTATCTAAACTACTTCAGATAATAAAGCGGTACTAAAAAGATGGTAAAACTTTTGCCAATCCATTATAAGTGGTACATCTTCTGGATTAAAATTAAAGTTCTAACATGATATTTTCATTTGACTTTATGTGAAAGTTGAAACACTGAAAAACAGGTCGATTTCTTACTTGACATTTTTTTAAAATGGTATTTATAATTTTTTTTTTTAATTTAATATCTTTTTCTTGTTTAACCATCACGTAATACCTATGTGGATATTGACAAAATGAGCAAATAAAATTTATCCAAGCTCCCTAATGCAAAAGAACGCCTTTGTAGATTTTTTGAATATTTATGCCATTTTGAAACTGACCATTTGTCATTCAATTCAGCGAAATTAATATTTAACACCAATGTTTTTCTTTAAACTAATTTTCTTTCCGAGCATATAATGTCTAATTAAAAGTAAATAATTTATTTTACTGAAGAGTGGAAGGTATTTAATAAATTTGAATGTGAAAAATTGATACAATTTAAATTCAATAAAAATTATCAAACATTAATTTGATTATTTGATAGTAATGTAACTTACAATGGTATAACACTTGAGCTATAAAAGTAAGAAACAAAAACAACACTTAAATGATGATGGGAAAGGCTAATGAGAAAGTTAGTATTTTTTAATAAATAAACTAAAAAAGGTAAAACAGGTAAAAAAGCAGATTTCTTACCTTGGTTGGGTGTGCTGTGTCCACCCACTTAAAAAAAATAAAAATCGGATCGCACTGTTCCATCGCGAGTTTATTTTCGCCTCCTCAAAAATGTTTGAGGCAGATTAGGAAGGGAAAAGGGAATGGAATAATGAAGGGAAATAAATGCAGCAATAATAGTGACATCGCCCTTGCAAATGCTGGAGCAAACAGAAATGGTGCCATGTTGTTAAAAGCAATAAGCTTAATAAGCATAATATATCGATTATACTCAGGTAATTAGTTAAAAATCATCGTTATCGTGAATGAAAGTAGAAGAACAAAAACTAAACTTATTCCTTTCGTTTATCTGAATTCTCGTGAGATAAAATAATTTAATTATAATTGTTGGTGAAGGCGCCAGGCATATTTTTCTATTAGTAATTTTGTAAAAAATTGTAGAAAAGGAAGTATTTTTTTTTAAACTGTATTATTACTTTTTTCAATTTTTAGTTCCAAGCTGCCAGTATGCCTAAGTAATGATAGATAAAAGAGTTATAGTAAATGAAATTTCTAATTTCAGTAAAATTTGAAACATAAAATTAATAGATGGTAGAAATTTTTCTTTTTGTAGCTTAAGAATTAAACAAAATGTTTGATTAATACCGAATATATTTAACAAAATCGTAATTTATTTATGAAGATGTTGACGTGAAGATGTCAAAAATTAGTGTTTGAAAAACATTGTGTATATTTTTAGACAAATTAAGGTATCAGTTACAAGGTACGATATTTGTTTCAGTTGTTGAAAGTTTAGTTTCAGTTCTTCTCGTTTTTAAAAATTATTAATTTTTTTTAATAATAGAAACGGGGAGAAATTTATAAGAGTAGCTCAAGCGTTTGCCGGGCAATTTCAAATTGGCTGTTTTGTACCATTTTATTTATTTTGTAATATTGTTAAGGAAACTTTGATGTACATTATTTACAAACTCAATAGAGAAAAAACAGTCACAGAAAACGACAATGTGTTTATAAGCTAGTTTCGTACAAACATGACACACTTGATTTGAAGTACTTTTATGCCTAAATCACACCTCCCAAAGTAATATTATAACACAATTGTATTAAGGGACTAATAAATATTGTAGGTAATACCTAATAAATTGCTTTTTAATACTACATTTTTTCGTAAAACATCTACTATTTAGATAAATTATATCAAATTANTTATTAATTAATATAAAAATAGAAGAGGTGTTGTATTAGATACATGACATGTTGTCAGATGGTACTTTAGTTAGTATACAGAAAGTATAATTGTTTTACGATAAAAATTAGAACACTTGGTAATGCACTTTCATATAACGTATATAAGTAGTATTTTATGTATTATAAAGACGATGAAATTGTTACAAAATTTTAACTAATTCTAATTTTGTTTTATTGCGACGTGACCACGTGAAATCGACGGTTTTTTTCTTTAAAGTTAATTCTTGAGATGGTTTTTAACATGAATTTTGATTCTAGAGAGAGGCATTTCTGCGGTGTCCTAGGTATACGAAAAATTCGATTAGTAACCATGAAAAATTTTTTTGGCTATTTCGGGGAGCTAAATTACAAAAACCAGCTTATGCATTTTCATCCACAGTTAAATGTAGGACGATTCTGTGTCATATGCACATACATTTTATGACGCATTTTAATTCTTCAGACTTTGATCAGCTTTCCGCTAAATTGTTTTTACTTTACGATTCTAAACCGAAATTAGAACAGGATGCAAGATATATATATATATAGGTATATATACGTAAAAATCGTCAGCCACAAAACAATTTATTAAATAAGTGCCAAATAAATACTAGTCGTTTTATAAATAAAAATGCGCCCACGACCTTTTCGTCATATGTCAAAATTAATAAGGAAGAAAGCTATTACAAGGGACATAAATATTTGTCAAATGAGTTTAAAATAACACAGAAACTATCTATCGTTTGTATATATTTTTTAAAAATCCCATAGGTTTATTTTCAGTTTTCGGAAATTGTATAGTAAAATTGAGATATTAAAACGAAAACTTTCGCAATAATCAATAAATAAATGTGCCTAAAATTTGTGATTGGAAAAATGTTCATAAGTGCCAGTTTCTGCAATTTAGTTGTTAATGTGAAATTTAGCGCTCTGGGTTGACTTACCAGGTCGGTATCTTTCGATAGGATTGTAACCGTAGTTGTGTGGGTAAATGGCACGTGGAGAGTATCCATAGATATCCCTGTGAACGGGGTCGTAGCGATATCCAGCAGTGTTAATACGTTCAGCGGCGGCAGACGGCTCGTCGTAGATGGATTTTCCATAGGGCCAGGTCGAACTGAACTCGGGAAAGTCTGAAATTGGGCGGAAAATGCCACGGGGTCTGCTGTAGTAGGTGCTCTCCGGAGCCCTCAAGTCATCCGACCCTAACAGTACAAAATACATTTTTATTACAATTCAATTAATAAGAAAGATCCTTTTTCTCACCTTTAAGAGATCTGACAAAAGACTGCCAGAATTTGGCTTTTTTTGATGCCGATTCATTTCGGCTTATCATTTCTAAGTGGTTTTTAAACATTTTTGGTCGATTTCCTTTTTAGTCGCTCGATCGCTGAAAAAGACAAGACAAACAAAAATCTTTAGTAAAATTGAAAATAACAAACTAGGCTTAAAATTAAGATTCACATTAGATTGTAGTAGCATTCTGAACGGTATTTTTGCTCCTATTTTTAACGCGAAAATGTATTTGATATTTGTTACTAAAATTCTGATATGACTTAATACAGGTTAAAATTTATGGTAATTGTGGCACACGTATCCATTCCAAATATTTCGAAATTTTTTGCTATTTTGGTTCGGAGGCAATATGAGTCACTTGTCGTTTTTGCAATTTGGCACCATTTGTACAATCTTGTTTTCTTACTAACATGCATTAGCCAATTCATTGAGATATTTTCAAAAATTATTCCATAGGTTGAAATATTCTGATGTTTCTATTTCACACCAAATTTAAATTAGTCCACTTTCTTGGGTTGACAATGTCATCAAATTATTTGTTACAAAATATTCTTTATAATTTAAAAATTCAAGCGTAGAGTAAACTTGTAATGTGATCTATTAAGATTGTAAATACAAGTCAAAATGGAACAGCTTTAAGGAGTTGAGAAGGAAATTAGTATTCGCCTGATGGAAAGAGAATTGATTGAATACAAACAGAATTTAGGTTTTCTAATTGCTGTAGTGCTATAGCGCGAGAGAGACCTTCACTAAAAATAGGGATCCTTGGAAGCATTCCCGAGATGCATGCATTCAGTAATTCAAAAATCCACTTATTATACAAACTTTCAGAAAAATGTAAATTTTTTTAGAAATAATATTAGCTTATTAATAAAAAAGTATGAATATCTTTGTCTTATAATTTACGGAAGGTGTTTAATGATTTTCTTGAAAGTATTTTAATTGATTTCGTCCATAAAAAAGAAAAAAACAAAAGTTTCTTATAATTAANATCTCAATATTGAATGTTTCTTTAAAAATTATTGCGTTTCTTAATTAACAATTAAATTTGTAAAATCAACTAAAATACTTAGTAAATTTATTTCTGCTTGGATATTATTTTTACAAATTTGGGTCCAAATTATCATTTTTATTATTTTCGCTTATGAAGGAAGGGGCTAGTGAGATAAATTGTAAATATCGCTTTAATATTTACGTAAATTTTCCTTTTTCATTTTCTCCGTGTACATTAATAGATACGCATGCTATTTTGGATAGTTTATGTGGGCTGTCAATTGGTAAAATTTTGGGTTTATTTTTTTAAATAGCCAAGTGTAAAATTCGAAGAAAACCGAACCTGACGTTTTTCGCGTGGGTTATATTATTAATACACTTTATAGCCACAGTATACAGATACAGTTATTACTAAAAAGATCGAATGGCACGCGTGTGCGTACTCAGTGGTTCGGTTATAAATTGCACATTATGACTAATCTTAAACACATCATGCTTAATATTGGAAAACATAAATTTGCGCAGTGCATATGTGTTACTTAAAAGCTTTACATATATAGAAGACATTAAATCAAATTGATTAAGGTAAATCGTTTTAAATTATAAAATAATTTCGTTGACATTTATTATAAGTACATCTAATGCTTATATTAAATTTTTAAATTCATTTAAAATGTTTAAACTAATTGGAAAAAATCAATCTTGTTAAGTCTAAATATTTTAGAAAATGCCATTGGACATGAAATTTAATGCAGTATTTGTCTATAAAATCTCATTGCAGTTGATGGCAAGTTTAAACTGAAAATTCGTGATCGTACAATTTAATTGCTACTATTCCCTTAATTCCCGTTTATAGTTCCCAGCTCCGACAGGTGTCCGACATATTATACAGTTCATATAATATTGTATCAATTCCAGTGGGTTGTAAAAGCCTATTGCGTAAGATACACCGTAAATTACAAATTTAACTTGCAATGTTCTAAGTTGGCTATGAACCAGAACTTCTACATATAGTTTTGTGTTTATCACTTCTCTATATTGGCATTTGTTAAAGTCGTCTGTAACAGATCCGCGTTTAACCGCGCTCTTTCTCTTTGGATTTATCTGCGAAACGTAGCAGAAGAAAATTATATTTTTATTATTATAATAAAGAAAATGTATGACGTAAATGGTCGTCAAGTAATGTTGAGATAACAGCGGGACTTGAGACCAGATAGAAAATTGAGTTGAAGCATATTTTTAGAACTTTTTTCATCTGAGCGTCTGTTTTTCATAAATATTTGATAGGAGATTTGGCCGGGCGCAACCAATATAGGCCACGTTTAAAATTGGAACACCAAAAATAACCCGGTAACGAGTCAGGGTGTTACTTAAATTATTTTTCGACGCTCCGACTCTTAACAAATCTCGCCAGTGAAACGTTAACAAACAATTTTTGCTATATATCGTATGTCTCAGAAACCTTAATCTCAACCGAATCAACTAACAAATACATGCGTTGCATAAAAGATTCTTTAAATGCTAGTCGCACAATTATCATGTTATATAACAAAATTGCCTATGTAACAATAACATTGATACACAACACAAAAAAGTCACTGAAAATTCTTATTGTTTGGACACTGCTTCACACAAAAGTAATTAACAAAAAAAATAAAAGAATCTGTTAAAGCCACATATTACGAAAAACCAATCTTATTACTTGTTAAGAAACACGAAAGACTGGTACCTGATATTACAGTTAAAAGTCTTAATAGATAATAATTGCGAAAGGTAAAAAAATTTTTTTTGTTTCCAAATTATTTATCTTAATGTCACTACTACAGAAATACTGACCTAAAATTAATTGAGAAGTGGACACGTCGTCGTTTGCGGCGACTGCTGTTCGGCACTAACTGTTTGAGCGTCGCGATGCCCAGCGTCCGTACGGGTATTCGCGATTCTGTGTTGCGAAGGGGGAGGGTGGTAGGTATAGACAGCTGTTGGAGGAGGTTCGTGCTTTGGCCATAACTCCATTCAAGGATTCATTATGTCGAAAAATTTGTGTATAAGGATCAGCATAGACGTCAGTATCCGTCCAAATTGTTGTGTGTGTGCGTTGCTTGTTCTTGAGTGAAATGACGAAAAGCGCGCACGTCAGAAAGTGACGTCATTTATAGCTTTTCAAAATGAAAATTTGACACTTTTATTGCTCACCTTTTCTTTTGATTTACGTAACGTAAACACAAACTGTTGAAAAGATCGTTCTTTATACAAAATGATCCCAATAACTTATTAAGGTAGATATTAATGTGAAAATTCATTCTCAATGTTTTACCCACTATAAACTACCTCAGTTTATGGGGGAAAATTTGTTGCTGTTGACACACCCTCACCGGGAATCGAACCCGGGATCATTAATCTAAGGTAGTTTATAGTTGGTAAAAAATTGAGAATGAATTTTTACATTAATATTTTATATTAACCACTATTAAGTGTTAAAGCGTTTAATATATACATAATTACACTAGTTCGACAGATCTGTGACCTGGTTTCCCCCCAAATACTCCCGTCTCCTCCCTATAATCAACCCTTTTCCCAACTTAATCCCTTTCCATTCCTAACCTTTTCCTTTCCTTCTCGGGGATGTACAACCTTCCGATTGATCTCGAGGAGAGACTTTAATCGGTAAAAATGTAACACTATTTCCCTTCAGGAAATGCCTTTTGAAAATTTCCTTCCTCGAGAATAATTTAAACAAAAAAAAAGATCTGTGACTTAAAAAGTACCGTTTGTCGTTGTGGCTGTTGTCAACTCTCATAACTTAGCGGTCAGAGCTTTGGTGCGTAAAGCCAAAGGTTCTGGGTTCGATTCCCGGCGACGGTGACAGCATCAACAAATTTTCCCTCATTAACCTGAGGTAGTTTATGGTGGGTAAAAAATGGAGAATGAATTTTCACATTAATATTTGATATGAAGCACTATTAAATGTCAAAGCGTTCCATATATACATTATTAAGGTAGCCTGGCCGGGTTTTGAACAGTAAAATCAGCAATTAAATAAAAATTTTATGAAATACCTACAGTTATTTATATTTTAAAAAACCTAAAAAAGGACACATTGATAATATTGTAGATAGATAGGTAGATAGATAATAGCTTTATTAACAAAATTGTCATTCTTATTTACACTGGCAATATTAGTACGTACACAATAAATTAAGTAAGGTGCAGTTTGTAAAAAAGTTTTATTGCATGGGCACTTAAACATGATCAGTACAACGACTCTAATCATTGTGTTCAACATAAAATGGCTAGTTTTAACTTCCTTGTACACAGATTACTTAGCTTCCCTCTTAGTAAAAATAGATATAATAAGGAACTCTGTACAATTAAGAAAATTGCAAAAGACAATGGTTACAATTGTAACATTATTGATAAATTAATTAATAAGATAAAATTTAGGAATTTTATTTCAAGATCTACGACTTTTCAAACAGATGCTAATAAAACCAAGTTTATTACTATGCCATACGAGCCAAGATTTACTCGCGGACTCGAGGGTATTTTTCGAAAACTTGGTTTACGGATTGCTTACAGTTCAAATGGCAACTCCATTCAAACTCTCCTTGGTAACCCTAAGGATAAAATTCCATTCTTAGAAAAGTCGGGGATATATGAAATTAGTTGTAATGACTGTAGTAAAAAATATATTGGACAAACTAGACGTTCAATCAAAACCAGATTTAAAGAACATCTAGCTCATGCTAGGTTTGGTAGAGAAGAAAAATCTAGTGTTGCCCAACATATTCTTACTGATGGACATAATATTAATATTAATAACCTTAAGTTAGTTAAAGAAGTTAGGAATAATCGTTTACTAAACAGTTTTGAAAGTTTATACATTTATAAAAATAAACAAATTGTTCTTAACAATGACAACGGTCCCATCCCTGGATCTCCGCTATTTAGTTTAGTTTAATTACGTTTATGATGATGATGTTAAGGTCCATTGAACATCTACCTTGTTGGCTTCGGGTCATGTTCACTGAACCTTAACAACTATCAGTATAAATTAGGATTAGTTCTCATTTAGGTTTAGTTTACTTCAGTCCCTGAAGAAGGTAACTTTGTTACCGAAAAGTGCTTCGGACAACTACAGTGTCGTGTTTTGGCGTTGGGGTTTTGAGCTATTCTGTTTGTTCTACAACAACCGCCAAAGTTTTTCCAATCTTCATATTTATGATCAGTACATATTAGAGGGTATTGGATAGTGATTTTGCCGAGTACCGAATAACCGAACACCCGGCAAAACCACTATGGTTAATGGTTCATGTCTTCGTTGTGACTATTATAGATAGGAAATAGACAAAAAGAACATTAGAATAAGAATCGGCTGATAAGCCTTGATCGAAAAGAACGATTAGGTACAAATAGAGACGTTTTTCGTCGGCTGCGCCTGCAATTTTTAATGGAAAATGCGTTGACAACGTTATATTGCAGTTGTGAATGCCTAATGTTCTTATAACGATAACATTTTTTTCAATATTTTGTCAAAATTTTTGTACAGTATAGTAGTTTTGCATTATTAAATTAATTATTAGTAAGGGATGCACACTGTCACCGCTACTTTTTAATCTATACATCGAAGACGCGATCAACATCATTAAAAACAGTACCACGGTAGCGATAGATGTGCAAGCGCAAAAGATTAGTACGCTTAGATTTGCAGATGATATAGCAGTATTAGCATCTAGCAAGGAGGACCTAGAGATAGCTTTAAATAAAATGGAAGCGGTATTGACAGATCAGTACCGTATGAAAATAAATAAACGTAAAACAAAAACACTGGTATGCAAGGGAAGAAGAAGAGCGAATATAAAGATAGGAGACGAAAAATTAGAAGAAGTGGCTGATTTTAGATACCTAGGAAGTCAGATAAGTCAGGACGGAAGGAGTAGTAAGGATATAAAGCATTGGATAGCGTAGGGTTGTGTCGCCTTCAATAAAAAGAAGTCACTTCTATGGTCGCAAAAGGTAGAAATTCGAAAAAGGTTGTTAAAGGTGTATGTTTGCAGTACGGCGTTGTACGGGTGCGAAACATGGACAGTGGGCACGGCGGAAAAGAAACGGTTAGAAGCGTTCGAAATGTGGTGTTATAGACGGATGATAAGGATAACGTGGGTAGAAAAGGTTAGAAATGAAGAGGTATTGGAAAGAATAGGAGAACAGAGGACACTATGGAAGTCGTTAAAAAAGAGGTAGGTTGGTAGGACACCTTCTCAGGCATGAAGGTCTAGTCAGGGACATATTAGAGGCAGGAACAGGAGTTAAGAGGGGTAGAGGTACACCTAGATTAGATTACTGTTCGCAAATAGTTCAAGATGTGGGCTGTTCTAGTTTTAGGGAAATGCGAAGTTTAGCTCAGGATAGGAAAGAGTGGAGGTACGTGTCCGACCAGTCTTAGGACTGACGACCTTATGAAAATAAATATCAAAACCGAAATGATTGTAACAGTTATCAACTATAATAAAGAAAAAGTATCACGTATTGTATAGATAGCGGAAGTGTAAAGGGAGGACAATGGGAGCTGTCCGCTCTGGGTAACTAACATTAAGTGGTAACAAAAACTTTTTTCGAAGTCAGAAACCTATACAAGAAGTGGAAAGAACTATTTCCTACGCAAAAAAAAATGTGAATAGGAATTTTGCATGTTTCAATTGAAGCAAGACGAGGAAGGAGGAAATTTCGAATATGTACGCCACGGAAAAGACTGCTGGAAACGCTGAACTAATAATGCTGGAAGTGCAGCAGAGGGTAATGTCTTGATGGGTTTTATCATAAACTAGATCATCGTCTAGAGCGACGGATGACATCCTCATAGTCATAACATTTAACGTTAAGCAGCCTAAAACTCTGCTTACGTTATCAGAAGAAGAACTTCCTGATATTATTCCAAATCTAATAAAAATCTATGATGTATTTTCTATGTTTATGATTGCAGCGCCACATGGAAGATGCCAGCATTTCTTACTAAATGACAGTTCGTAGTGGATTAACTTTCTTAACTGAATTTCGTTATAAAGTGGGGATATTCTGAGTCTCGTGCTGTGTCTAAGATTTTTCTTAATAATTTGCGTAATGTGAAAGAAGCTTTTCAAAATTAAAGTTAATAAATTTGTACTGAAGATCCACAATAAGCCAAGCACGGCTCGCCAATCTTTCCATATTGTTCATTCAAAAGGAAAGGAAAGTAAATTTGAAACATAAAGTAACTGAATATTCTAACAAAATTAATGTCTCGTAAGCACATTAAGTAGGTTTACCCATTTGTCGTTATATTTTGGGGTTTAATTTGACACGTATTAGATATCGTTCTCCTGTTGAACATTCATGAATGTCACAATAAATAGTCAATTTTTACAGATAGTATTCACTACGTAATTCGTGCATATTACTTGAATGCTGTTTAATGGAAGCAATTACGTATTAACAAGAATCAAAGAGTATGAAATGACTAACAATTTATTTTTGAATTGTAATAATGTTCATTATGTTATTTTACCTGCAGGTATCTAATCCTTTTCTTATTTGTACATAATTTAACTACTTTTTTATAGATAAGTGTAACAACATTGTATCTTTACTACGAAATAGTACTTAATTAGTTAAGTCAAAAACAAAAACAAAGTTTGAATGAAATTGACTGTGGGTTATCGTGTTATCAAATTAGCAATAAAATCATTAAAAAAATATTTATAAGTGACAACGTTTGATAGTAAAAGTAATTTTGTAGAGTATCATTAATGTCCAGACAAACAAAATGTTTACATACAATATTAATATTCAAATTGGTCGAAACGCAGTACTGTTTAGTGATCGTTGCCAGTAAAACATTTGGTAACATTTGAAATGTCTAAAAGTTTGTTAAAACATTTGCAAAATTTATGAATCAAAACTAAAGC